AAACAAACCTGTGCTTCTGATACTCCCGCTTCATCACGTTTCTGTACACTAAAAAAAAAAATTCCAAAAAATGTAACTACTTCTGACAGGATGAAAAGTCAGGAATACTTTGCTTAAATTAAAGAAAAGTGTAAATCAACAATATTAAAGCTACAATTTTTATCTGCTGCCTGTCCTAGCCTATAACTCTTTTGTGGCTTTGTTGTCCTTAGCCAGAGCTGCTTTCATAGCCAGTGTGCGCAGGAGGCCCTGAGAAATTATGAGACCTTTCTTTCTTCTTAAGAAGCAATACAGAAAATTCAGTGATTGAAGCCCACCTCTCAAATCTCAGTTTTTCTGGCAGCATCTGATCTGTGATATTTCTACCACACCTGAGATACAAAAATGTGTTCACCTCATGCTCAGATCTACATGGGGGAAAGTGTTTTGCTAAAGCACTGGCCTTACTTCCCTTCTGATGGATGCAGAGGGGAAAAGATGCCAGCTCTCAAACAAGAGACAMCATGGTTTCGGTGCATGATGCCATGGCAGCGGTGGATTCCGGTCTCAGAGGAGGTGCCTGGTTTTTGCACAGCTGAAGGCAAGCTGAACSCCAGGCACAGTACACAGTGCCATAGAGAATACTATGCCACATGTAGGACTCAGAAGGAATCAGCTGCCATGTGTTTCTCCCTCAAATTCCTTGGCTACATACTTGCAATGCACCTCATTCCCAGGCTAATGTACCGCAAGAGTGAGACTAAGCCAGGAATCACCAAAGCCCATGCCTTCATCTCAGGAGCAGAATGGGAGGACAGGGACCCAGAAACAGCAAATTCAACACTGTGAGTGTTGAAATGACTAGATTGGTACAGGAGGGCAGAGAATCCAGCTAGCGGGGCAACCTACACTGCAGGAATGCCTAGGGTCAGAAATCCTGTGTACACAGAGGATAAAGGGCCTCTTGTCACATGCGGAAAGTGAAGGTCACTTCTGTGGTCTTTCAAAGATCAGTAGGGGTCACAATTTGTAGTTCAAAATTCCTGACCACAGACATGTCTCCAGTGCCTCCTCCATGAAGTCAGCAGCTATGGCAGCTGTTTGAAGAGAGTCAGGGTGTTGCACTGGACACATCAGACTTCACTTGCCAGTGCCACCCCTGGAGACACCTTCCCACCACGGAGATGCCAGTTAGGAGCTGACTATGGGCATGAGCAATTCTGCTCTCAGATTGCATAGAYTGTACTTACCACACGGTGGATCCCTCCTCAGGATAGAAAGTTTGGCTTGAGACAAGGCAGACCACAAAACAGTCAGCTTTAGGGAAAAGAGAAATAGCGTGTCTCTGGTTCCTCTGTCCTACCACTTGCCTCTCCACAGTTAATCAGATCAGTAGACCACACTGACACATTTTGGAGAATTTCAGCTCTGCTGTTTCATTTCAAGTTGTTGARGCTTGTGTTGCTTCCTGTACCATGCACTCTTCCCAAAAACATAGTCTAAATTTATGCCCAGAAGCAGATGCTTGGAATGTGAATAAGCTCCAGATACAACTTATATAGTGTCCACATGTAGGTTATGTCTCTAGGATGTGCTGTAGTCACAGGAATTGGTCAAAACACCAGAATAGATTAAATACAGTAAAGTAGATGTAGGGCTTCTAAGGCTGACCAAACATAGGCATAGCTTTAGCRTAGGTCCTGTCTGCATTTTTGGACYCAAAGTATCTTGCCTTTCCTAATTTTCATATATTACTTTGTCTTTTTTAGCAGTAATGATGTGTCTCCTTCAGTGCACCAATGCTAAGTAAACTTGTTATTTCTCTCCCATCTATCAGTCACTGCTGGGAATCTACTGCTCCCAGTAAATCCCAAATCAGTATACTTATTATTTTTTTAAAGAAATAACATAGCAAAAGGCAAAGCTCATCAGAGTCCCCTCCCTTGAAGTACAAGGTCTGGGTTTTCAGCTTAGGACGTTTGGTCAAAAACAAAGTGTGAAGATACAGATCTACTGTCAGTTTGGCTGATGCTGGGTTTGAAGTTATGGACCCTGGGTGCAAAAACATCCCCTGTTGYCATGGTTTAATCTAAGCCAGAAGCTCAGCCTCACACAACCTGCAGTGGAATGGGAGAGAGAACTGGAGGAGTAAAAGTCAGTGAACTCATGGGTTGAGACAGAAACATTTCAATAGGAAAAGCAAAATCTACATGCACAGGCAAAGCAAAACAAGGGATTTATTCACCATTTCCCTTGGCCAGGCAGGTGTTTAGCCATTCCCAGGACAGCAGGGCTCCAGCACACAGCTGTGACTTGGGAAGATAAATGCTATCACTCTGAAGATCTCCTCTTTTCTCCTTCTTCCTCCAGCTTCATATGCTAAACAAGCCAGCATATGGAATGGGATACCCCTGTGGGCAGCTGTCTTGGATGTGTCCCCTCCCAACTTCTTGTGCCCCCCCCCTCCCCCCCACAGCCTCACCACTGCTGGGATTCAGTGAAGAGCAGAAAAGGCCTTGACACTGCCTGAGCCGAGCTCAGGGACAGCAAAACCATSCCTGTGTTACCAACATTGTTTGCAGCAATTTCAAAGCGCAGCTCCACAAAACTGCTTTGAAGAAAATCAATTCTACCGCAGGCAAAACCAGCAGAGCTGCACACCATGTATCTGTTGCATTCTTGTGCTCACTGTCCATTTCAGCCGTAGCAGTTTGCTGTCAGTTACTGTCCCTTCATTGTCCCTTAACTAACTCTAATTGGGTAGTACCAAACTGAGGAAGGAAAGCCCTGCGAATTTATGTTCTCTGCGCTGGTGTTTAAGCAGGTGATGCCTGAATGCATCATTTCAGAGCCACGCTTAGGCACATGCGGAGTGGGTGGCGTGGCCGCAGAGCTGCTGGTCAGTCACGGAGCGAGGTGGCCGGGCAGCACAGCGAGGATGAGTGACCGCTGGGCCCGCTGGAGCTCCGCACATGCTCCGTGTGCCAGCCCGGGCTGCTCACAGCCCTCAGCTGCCGGGCTGCGAGAGCTGCGGCATCTCGGAGCTGCGAGCAGCCACTTCCACTCGCTGAAGCCATGGCATTTTTCAGGATCTCAGACAAGCTTCCAGGGGCATCCTTTAAAGAGAGTCCATAACAGAATATAACGTTTCCATCAGGCTCTTGCCTTGTCAACAATCWGCAGCCGTAAAGCAAGTTTAATTCTGTGAGAAGACTGATGACAGCTATCGTTTCACTTTGTACTGTAATATATGAGATTCTTTCCTGAAAACCCTGGAGTTGGCATTTGTCTGGTCTAGTTGTAAATAATGAGATAGATCACAATGGATTTCAGTTCCTCCTCTGTGTTTGATCAGAACAAAGGTAAGTCACCAGCTACTAATTTAAAAATCCTCTGGTCCTCCAATGCGTCCCATGCAAATGTATTAAGATTATGAATAACATGAATTTTTGGGAAARGTGAGGTTTATTTTGGTTTCATGTAAAGGAATTTCTTCTATCAGTTTTGGACTCGATAGATCTTTCAGTCTATTGCTACAGTGATTTCTGAAAATTAATTTTGAGCAGAATAGCAATGGTATCTGGCTATTCTTATGCTTAGCACTGAGAGATGTAATTTTTTTAAAATATTGTATATTGGTCCTCTTATGGTTATACATACTAAAAACAGTTGCAGTACTAGCAAACAGAGCAGTTTAAAATKGAGTAAAAAATTTAAGAACAGCTGGTTTTCATAATTCAGTTTTATACACTGAAAGGACTAGAAGCTGACAAGTGATATGCTTTGCTTCAGGAAATTTAGCTGTATAGATGAGWATTGCCATAATTGTAAATTTAAGGGATCATTAAAATCCCCAACATAAAGATTTTCTACGTTGTAAGGTTGCTATGGAAATACAAATGTCTTTGTTGTCTATTTTGAAGTTAAATGTTAAATTTCATGTCTTTATTTGCCACTACAAGCTTTTATGTGTTAGAGTTTAATCCACTACAAGTGTAGTGGCATTCCTTTCATGTTTCTAAAGCAGGAAGCTGTCATTGCTTGGTAATGCATGTTGCAAGAAATTTCTCTAAGTTGGCTTGCCAAATAATATGTGTGCAGTGGCTGCAGCTTCCAATGCAAACCTGCAAAATATCTGAGCAGACATGGTCACGCTGGCCCCACAACGAAGGGCTGATTGTGGATCAAAGATGAAAGTGTCTTGAAAACAAGACACTTCAGTGCCCTTCAGGCAGCCAGGAGCCACAGGTTGTATTTTTATGCTCGCCTACACTTCTCTGGTCAATCCAAAGTGAATACAGCCCGCATAAAGTGGTTGGTTTATGGCTGCCTTTCAGCCAAGTAGAACTCAAAGCCTGAGCAAGTCTTGGGAGAACTGCTCTACACCAACCCTGCTGGGACCCCCATGCAGTGGGGGACAAGTGGGAAGAAAAACTGAGTCACAAGTGAGAAAAGAAACAGATACCAGCACATATAAAGGAGGAAGGGAAGTTCAATTGTAGGAGGGGGAATCTGCACTGCAGGAATAGAGACAGGTATTCCTAAATCATTTGTGATGTAAGGAGCATTTTCCCCAACAGGACAGAGCCATGGGGCAGAGTGAGCTTCTCCAGCCTCAAACAGTCATTCTCTATCTCTGCTTCTGCAGCACCATGAGTGTGCTCTGTGCCACATGCTGACCCACCAGGGCTTGGAATGGGGAGGCAGAGGGGAAACCCTGCATGCTCAGTGCCATCAGGATGGCTGCCAGGGAGCCCAWGGAAATGGTGACAAAAAGGAGGCTGGAGTATCACTAGGGCTGGGGAAGGCAAAGTCRAGTCCCTAGATGGTTTATGGGGCAGAGAGCAATCCAGGAGACCATGRACCCAAACCAGTTTATCCAGATAAAAGGGAGACAAGTTGGGAGGCAACATYTGCCTGTACCTCACCTTGCTCCTAATCTGCATCCACCTGCTGCTGCCAGGCCACTCTCCATATTGACTCATCCTAATTCCCATCCAGCATCATCTGCAGCCCATGTCACACTCCACCTACAGCAACTCCCCAGCCAGAAGGTCCCTTCCCTATAAATTCATCATCCCTGTTTCACCAGCGCTGCAGGAATGCTTGCTCATTAGGTGATTTGTGGCTTACTGCTTGCCTTGCCTGCTAGCTGCGTGGGAGGTGGATGGGGAGCAGGAGCACAAAACACAGACTAATGGGATACTGAGCTCATTGGTTACCGTGCAAAGAATGCTCTATTCAAAATCTACAGTGTCTAGTGGATTTTGTCTAAATACCATCTTAATGTCTTGGCACAGTATTGATTTAAGCAGGCATAATTTTTTTAGCAAGAAGGGTGACGAGGAACCGCGGCTGCTCAATTGCAGCAATTTATAACAATGGGAGAATACAAACTGTCTTTCAGACACACTAAATTACTCTCTGTTGGTCTGAAAAGATAATTCAACTCTCCCCACAAAATGTTTTTTTCTCTTCCCCACACATCAGAAAACTATCCCAACTACAAAAACCCCAGCATTCCAAGCTTGAAAATCATACTGTCTCTGCAACACTTCTTATGGTACTGCTCAATAGCATCTTATAATACTTGTAATAATAATAGAAATGTGGGGCTTACAGAAGGTGAGCAGCACCAGAAACCCCTTCACTCCTAATAGTGCTCTGTGCCATTTCAATAAATGTATGCTGTTCCTGGCTTCACATGTTTGCTGATTAAACAGAGCAGCCAGACAAGGGCCTGTMCTGGTGCAGGCACAACCAGGCAGACACAGGGGTTATTACTTTGTTAAGCGTTCAATAGAAACACAGTGTTAGAGAGTAAGTTACAGTTTTCAAAAACTGCACTCATCCTCCTCCCACTGACCCTTGACACTGACATGTTGAAAACAAATAAACTACCCAGTACTGTGTTTGGACAAGGTGTAGGAGATGACGTATGGCCTTTGGCTAGTGGTGGAGACAAGAGGAATTATGAGACAGAGGGTAGTAAATTATTTGCATAAATATTTCTTCACAATGAATGTGAATTATCCTATTATCCCATCTTCAGTTTTCAATATCTTGTGGTTTAGCAAGTTCTAAATCAGCCATTGTCAGGATCATGTACACCAAGCTCTGGCAAATTTATTTAAATTAAAATTWAAAATTTATTTTATTTAAAAACCCAATGCACTAGAAAGCACACATTTATGTACACCTTATGTGCCCTTTGTGAAACAATATATTAGCCAACATTGCAAATTGTGTAAAACATGTTCTYCATAGGCAGTCAGACGAGAATTAATGTCATGAGAACAATCTCATTGTTCCAAATCCCGTGATCATGCTGTGTCTCTCCTTATATATCCCCTTTCTGACCAAAAGAAACCTACTTTGCATTGAAGAAATTATGCACTCTTAAAACACTGCCACTTTTTTCAAATAGATTGGTGTTTCACTGTGATTGTTTCTGAGGGGTTTAGCACCATCCTCTATGTAATTTAGCCTTTTCTTCCAGACCTTTGTATACCACTATTATCAGCCTGCAGTTTCTCCCTTGCCTTGCTCTATACACAAGCTCTTAGTTGGACCTTCTGCCTTCCAGAATCTGACTGACAGCCACCTTTCACCAGTAGCATAGCAATTTTCCAAAATAAAAATGTAACATGTATTTGAAATGGGACCAGTATCTACTGGCATTTACAACATTGCACAATAATAATGGAGTAACTAACACATTAGAAGATGAAGAGTCAGGCATTTGGCTGTTCACAATCCCTTTATGTCATGTGGGGCATGTGCCCCAGCCACAGCCAAGCCCTCGAGTAGGGCAAGCTCCCAGAGAGGGGGACACAAGCRCCCAGTACTGTTGCCTTCTGCAAAATGCCCACTGTCTGAACCATTCCTCTTCTGCCCAGGAAGGTGTCTTCAAAAAGAAATGTCCTAYTAGCTTTGTGTCCATGCTTCTTCATTCCTTGACAGGGTAAGCTGGAGGAATGTTGGATGTTGTTCACCTGAAACCAAGTGCATCCAGCACAAATCACATCCAAGCTCTCCTGGCATTTTCTGCTCCCTGTCATGTGAAGCATCAGAAGACCATTTATCTGYCTTCCTTCTCACTCCATGCAAAACCAGACAGTTCATATAAAAGACACTTGAAGTTGTGTCACCCTACAGAAATGGAATTTATGTCAGTCTTCTTTATTCAGATGCACAACATGGGTGCTCCTCCTGGTCCAGGCTCCCTCACCAGCAGGGTGATAGCCTGCTCTACCTGCCTCCCCTTGCTCTGGCAGCCAGGACTCATGGCTGGGAAAGTGTGAATCTTGGTGGCTACATGCCACCATCCCTTAAGAGAAATGGAGCCTGTGTTCTGCAAGAAGAGGC